GATTTACAACCATCTCTCTCTCGCTCCCCTATGAAAGTCCCAATCAATGGAAATTGTTGTCAGTGGGTTTTCTGGGTTTCTGTGTATTTCTAGGTGGAACTCTTCGACAACCTCCCTCCAAGTAAATCTTGTCCACCCAATTCTCCTCCTCCAATAAACAAGCAAACTAGACCCAATTGATTGTTGGCCTCTGGGAAGAGCTTGTCCGATAAGGTTGATCTTTGGGTCTTCTCCCACTTTGTAATTTGGTATCTACAGCCCCATTTTTGCCTAGGCATCCATAAACTCCATTGACCACTGATAGTTTTAGATGAGGAACATGCCTGCAGGCTTGTCTAGCTTCATATGAACAATAATTTTTTTCAATTAGGTTAAATGAGGAAGAAACCAAGGGCAAAAGGTATATCTCATCATTTCCATTTTTATTTAATGACGATGACAATTGACAAAAACAATAGGGGTGGTTTAAGACAATAGTTAAACAGTAAGGGTATAGTTTGCCAATTAGCTAAACAGTAGAGATAGTTTAAGAAATTTGCCCATATAGTTTTGAAAACAGTAGAGATAGTTTAACAATTTTATAAACAACCTTTGTATTTTGACCTAATGAACACCTTTTTTATAGTTTTGAAAAAAAAAGTGCAAATACCTCATTCCCTTGACTTTTTAGCAGCAAAGGCATTAAATTATCAAAATACCCTTGTCATTGTTAAGGCATTATTGTACACAATTTATAGTTTTAACTTTATCCTCCACTAATTTATTTTTCTACACAACTTTCAAAAAGTAAATGTCCTACTTTTTTTGGATGAAGGTAAAAAGGCTAAAGTGGAGTAAAAGGAAAAAAAAAACATTTTTCAAGGTATTTTAGTAAATTTACATGTGAATGAAGTTGGTTAAGGGTAAATTTGATATTTTAAAAAAATTAATGCATTACATCAACATTTTTTATTTGGAATGCTAACAAAAGGAAGTTATTTGCACATTTTCTCAAAACAATAGGGGAGGTTTTTGTTAAGGTCAAAACATTGGGGAATTTCATAGGGCTGCTAGAAAATCTAAGGAGGTTTTTATAATTTTCCTATTTTTAAATGGGTTTTAAATTGATTTAAATTAGTGTAAATACGGTATTTTAAAAAAATAATGCATTACATCAGCATTTTATTTGGAATGCTAACGGAAGGAAGGAATTTGCACCTTTTTTCAAAACAATAGGGGATGTTTTTGTTAAAGTCAAAACATAGGGGAGTTTCATAGGATTGTTAGAAAACTCAAAGAGGTTATATCAAAGATCAAAATATCACAATGTATCAAGGTGTGTCGGCCGATACGTATTGAAAAAAACTAGATTGATATAGGCTAGTATATCAATCCCCCTAAACTAGATTGAAATAAAAAAAAACTAAAAACAAGAACAAGTGGCCTTTGATATAGACTAAATTTAATTAAAATATATTTAAAATTAATAATTTTTATTAGCTTTTGTTTTTATTAATCCTTATTAAATGTAGTTAACTATATTAAGTTTTTATTTTTTTAGTAGAGCTTAAGTTGGCTTTAAATTAGTAAAAGTTAATTACAAAACTAATAGTTGTTAGATAGCTTTGTATTCATTTTAAATTGATATTATTTTTTTAATTTATCTTACTCCTTTTTATTAATTAAGTTATTTTTATTATATTGATATTTTTTATCAATAAAAATAAATAATTATTATTCTTATTTTATGTAAGTAACTTACTAAATTATTCTTACTATGGTTAATTATTTTTTATTATTTTCAAATGGAATATAAATGTATAATAATTTTTATGATGTTTTGTTCAATGTTTTCAATCCATCGTTGAATCAGATAGCTTAACCTTTCAAACCATCACTAGACCCTATTTTTAATTTTGTATTTCCTAAAATCTGCCTTGTTCAACTTGGGCAGTTGAACCATTAACCCTTTTGACCTACTTATTGGGTCATAGGTTATAATATACAATGTATTGAAACTTTTTGGAGGATTTAACTTTGTGCTCAGTTGTCTGATTGGGGATTATCTTTTTCTTTTTGGATATCTTACGATCTTTGCAACCCCACTATACCAAAAAATAAAAACTCAATTGTTGACCTAAAATTTCAATATCCAGTTGTTATATTTATAAAAAATATTAAAAACAAATAGATGGATAGATGGCATATTTCGGTTTGACTTGTCCAACCCGATAGTTAAACAGTTGACCTATGACCTAGAGGCAAAAATTATTCAGCCTCCAAGTCAATTTTTAAAGCACAATTTTATTTGTTGGGTGAAGTAAATAATATTTATTTCGAAATGCAAATTAATTGATTAAATAACTTAAAAATCAAGCTTTTAAATGGAAATAGATTATTTAACCTAATAATATATCATTGAATATCTCCATTTCAATATAATTAACCTTTATTAATAATTTTTATGACAATCTTTATTAATAATTAAAATTTAGTGAAAATATATCTAATGCATATAAAATTATACATTAGACATTATATGGCTCCATACATTAGATATAGATAAAGTTAATGAATTTTAGGCATATAATGGAGTAATAAGAGGAGAGAGAATTAATGGCATGAGTTATTAAAGGAGAGAATTAATGGCATAATTAATGAGAGATAATTAAAAGAGTTGATGGGAAAGAGGAGAGAGTTAATGAGGAGAGTTAAATGTCTTAAAAGTGATTGACCACTTTTGTTTAATTTTAAAATTAAAAAAAAAACAAAAAAAAGATAAAGTGCCTTGTAGAATAAACCAAGCAGTAGGAAAGTGCCACATTGGCACATTCCATTTAATAATTAGATATAGATTAGTACTCTCTATGACTCTGTTATCATCAAAATACATGGGGTCAACAATAGTGACCATCTTATTGATTAAGAATGTAGTGCACATTTGGGAGGGCTTTCATGTAGTGGCTTCTAGTGTTGCAAGGTAGGCTCCACATGGAAAGTCGTGAAGTGGTGTTTGGTGGAAAATCCAAAAAGACAAAAGTAGGCTTACATAAGCTGGAAAATCAACTTTATGGTGAGCTTATTCCTTGTAGTTTCTTCGAAGTGACTCGGTCAACAAAACTAAATCAATACATAAGCTCTCCCAAACAGGCTTTGTACTCTAGGGCTGTAAACGGATTGGACTCATATTTAATCCCAATTCTCTCTTATGTGTTTTAAATGACCAAAAAAATTAGAAGTTTTAAAAACCTAATAATTAACTTATATATGTATAATAAATATAATATAAAGTACTCAAATTAACAATTAAAAACTTCATACAAATACACATAATATTTGTATATTATAAAAACATAATGTATATATATATATATATATATATATATATATATTTAAATACATAATTATATTACATATATACATAAATAATATTTTTTATTAGACTTGGATTTTAATTGCATCCAATGGGATTAAATCCACATCCAATCCAATTATAAATTAGATGCAAGCTCTAACATCTAAATTCGAGATATTTGGATTCAGAATAGAATTAGGTATTGGACCTTCGAAGTCTATTAACAACACTATCATTCTCTCTCTCTCTCTCTCTCTCTCTCTCTCTCTCTTCAAAGATTTTCCATCAAGTGACCATGATAGGAGTGACCCATAAATGTAATTATATCTTTTAATGACAAAACTAACCTTATCCAACTGTTCACTCATCTCTCAACCCTCAACCCAACCCAGCCCGCCAAATTCCATCCTTTAGTTCTTACCATAGTTGCCAGGCCCAACTTAGGGGTTAGCAAATGGGTAGGTTCTAGTTGGAACCAACCTTGAACTGACTCTATCCAATCTGTTATTGGGTAGGGTGTGGTTCCAAATTCTAAGAATTAACCCTACCCAAGCTAGTTCTAAGATATAGGGGTTTATCCTACTCGAACTGACCTTGGTGGAACCGACCTTGATTGACCTTGGTGGAAATGGTCTTAGAATGAAACTTGCCTTAAAATAAATCCCAAAATACTTTGAGGATGTAAGGATTTGAACCTCAACACCCATGGTTACAAAGGCCCTAATTTCACTTGACCGTCAAGTAATTTGATCATTTTTTTTTCATTTTAATATTTGAATGTATATAATAAATAATGTAAAAGGTAATATTTACAAAAATAAAGTTATAATAATAAGTTTTGAATCATATATTAATATATCATTAAATCACTCAATTTAATCAATAAAGATAGTATATGCTTTAATTATTATGATTGAACCCGTAGGCCCTAGAACAGATTCCACCCGTAAATAGCAAGGTTTAAAATATCGTTACGTATCGACCAATACGTATCATATCAGAACCTTCCCGATACACCCCTACAGGGGTGTACCGGATCAGGCCATGGTTCAAAGAGTAACCGGGACTTAAACCAACCCCTTTGAATCAGTTTTGAAAAAAAATAAAACATAAAAAAAAACACCAATACAGGTCGATACACCGGTAGAGCATATCAGCCTGTATCAATATTTAAAACCTTGGACCCAAGAACTGACCCCTATAGGGTAGGTTCAAGTTCTTCCTTGGAACCGAACCAAACCGAGCCATACTCACCCCTAGGCAAGGTTATAATCATTCTCTAGTCTTCCTCATGAAGTTCTAGAGTATAGTGCTGCATTTGTTTGCCCATTTATTACAAAGGCTGAAAGGCTAATATGGTAAATTGATTCAACCAACGCTAAATAGACACCGCGATGCCAAACAAGTGAACAACTAGGATAGTTTTTAATGTTACATATAAGAGAATACCAATTAACTTGAGATTCAATGGCACCCAGATGGCTAGCAGCCCAGTGCAGAGGCTCCAGCCAATGCAGGGTGTGGAGAGGGACAGATGTACTTACCCCTGCATATACAAAGAGGCTGTTTTCAAGATTTGAACAATTGAACCTGGTCACCCAGTTCGCAAGCAGATTTGACAAAATTTCCAAACTAAAATTAAATCATATGCTCTATATTTCTTATATACAAAGAAATAACATCAATATGTATATTCATTGGCTCCATTTGTACCCAAAGTTATTTCTTATTTACATCTGTATTAGCAGCAACGAGCAATAACCTTACTACAATGAACAAATCAAAAAGAAAAATCATAAATACAACACTCTTTATTCTGTAGAATAATTTAACAAGCCAAATTTTACATGCAAGCCAATCTTGCCACCTTCTGTTACTAGCTTAGCAGCTGTAACCAGCCAATGCCCAGGGGCATCATGCGGACCCCTCAGCACCTCAATTGTTTCAACATATTTGAGCATCTTCGGGGATTGATTTGGCGATGGTGGGCCATCAGGATATACACCTGAGTTCAGCACAGCAGGCACTTGTTTTGGGGGAGCGGTGGCTGCTTCCCTTTGCGTGAATGTTGTACTGAGGTTTGTGAGGAAACTTGACTTGTGAGAACCAACTGGTGCAACTGCCCACTCAGCCTTACGAATACTGCAGTTGGGCAGGTAAGTGAAGAGCAGCCGAAGATGAAGCACTGTCTTCGGCCACTTCCCCTTGGTGAGGAGCTGTGCACCTGTTACCACAAAAACACCACCAGGTTCCCTCTGCAGCCACTTGGGGTCATGCCTAACCGCTGCTGTGCATACATTTGAGTATCTCTTCCATTTGACTGGCTCCAAGTATTGTCTGCTGCATAAATCATCATCAGACCCTCTCCACTGACATGACCAAGATCTGGTAGAACTAGCCCACAATGATTCTAGCATATGTGGAACACTTGACAAGTGCTGTACATGCAAGGCTAGTTGGTTACATTTCTTTCCTTCCAAGTACAAACGTAGGCCAGTCACTGGTTTCCGATCACTTGAGACCTAAATTGATCCCAAGATAAAATAATTAAGCAGAAAATCTTATGCTATACCACCAAGATATTTTATTCCAATATGGTGCAGAATCAGAAAAAGCTAGAAGACAAATATGACATCACATAAGCATACAAACTTCAACTCAAGGACCAGACTACTCATGAAGCTGGAAAGACCAAGCTTCTCCACATTGTCAACCAAAAATCCTAGTAACTAATCTAAGCTTTCAAAAGTGAACAAGATGTACTTGAATAAGCAGAAGTTAGAATCAAGTATTTGACAAACATCCTTTTAATTGAAAATAAACAAACACAACGCATTTAAAATTGAGCCAAGTGCCAGCAAAAAGTGTGCTAACACGCTATGGGGAGAAGTGCCTGATGTGCATCTGGAAGCTCTGCTATCAGCATGTTAGCATGCTATTTGCTGGCAGCAGATCCTGTCACTTTAAAATCTTACAGAAATTATTGTCATGAACATGATCCTAGCAACATAAGACATACGTTATACAGGTTTGAATAACAAGTCGATATGTATCACACAGTCGAACCTGTCTCTCCAAAATCTTGGGTTATGGGGGACTCAGCTGGGGCAGGACTTTCAATTCGTACAAATATATGGAGACATGGTATATTAGATAATAAATAAATGTTAATTTCCAATTATGCAAACTAGTGATGTTTAATATTTTAGATGCAGTATTATATATCCAAACAAAATGTAAGCAACAAAAGCTGACATACGTGAACTTGTCACATGATATTTGAAATCTCATGTTAAAATAACATATTCCAATCCACATTGCATGAGATTAAAAAAGCATTCCTGGTTGAAAACCACATACTTACAATTTTCAACTGTAAATTGAAATATTTATTTTAACAGTATCTACTTAATAATTTAACTCAAGTGCTTGTCCAATTGAGTACATTTTATTTCATAAGTCAATTAAACATGTTTCTAATATTATATATTCATCTCTTATTAAACAAAAAATAGTTCAAAAATGAGAATTGTTGTCATTAATGATAGAAATGGATACACGCACACAAAAAAAAAAAAAAAGAAAAGAAAAGGATAACTGATGTCTAATCCATGACCTGCTGATTGAGTCAAATGGTTCAGCTGTTCAACCAACTGGGTAAATGGTTAACTGAGTCAACAGTTCTTTTTTTTTGTGAGTAAATGGTTTGAGGGTTAAATGGACCTGGAAGCCTGGCTAGGTGATGGGTCAACTGGTCTGACCAAGCCAGTTCAACCATGGGTTGGAAACAATTTTACCAAGTATTACAAATCCCCAGATTTATGCTAAGAATTCATGGTTCTTTAATCACATATTACAGATTGAACAAGGAGAATAGACCCTCAATTATTATGTCAATTCTGGTGCCAAAACATGTCTGACACAAATTCTATCCAATTTTAAGTGTCCATTAATTGCAAACATATGTCAAAGTAATCAAGAAAACTAAACAGACAACTAAGTATTTTGGACTGCCTAGGCAAGGCCAATAGGCAACCTTTTTTGCTCTAGTGCCTAAGAAGAAAGAGGCCAAGAGCCCAAAGGACCACAGAGTGATAAGCCTTGTGGGCAATATGTATAAAATCATTGCTAAAGTCCTGGCTGGTTGACTAAAGACTATCTTACCCTTGGATATCTCTCAGAACCAAGGAGCCTTTGTGGAAGGAAGACAACTAATGGATCAAATCCTAGTGGCAAATGAATATGTGGCAACAAAGAAAAAAAAGGAAGGGAAAGGTCTAATGTGTAAACTAGGTCTGGAAAAAGCATATGACATGGTGGACTGGTCTTTCCTTTTGAGTCATGGAAAAGATTGGTTTAGGTGAAAGATGGAGGTCGTAGATCAAAGGTTGTGTTAACTCGGCACATTTCTCAATCCTTTTATAGAGTAGCAAATAATTTCTTTCCAGCAAAAAGAGGACCATGACAAGGTGATCCCCTATCCCCCTCCTTGTTCACCATTGCTGCTGAGGTCCTAAGTAGGCAAAATCATCAAGGCTCATCAAGAAAATCAATTTAGAGGTTGGAGGTGGTGGTGACTCACTTGCAGTTTGCAAATGATATTATCATTTCCTGTGAGGATTGTGAAGTAGTTTGAGAGATAAATAAAGTGTTATTCTGGGAAGACCTACAGATAGGGAATTTGCCCCTTAATGTCTAGTTCCCTGAACTTTACTCCTTGTCAAACCTTAAGGCTGAACCTGTTGCTAGGTTTGGTGTGCATTTAGAGTTGGGCCTATCTTGGGACTTTGGGTTTAGAAGTGGTATGAGAGATAATGAATGTTGTTTTCTTGGTAGAAACGTTGCTGAATAGAAGAGAGAAGAGAAGAAAGGAACAGAGGAGAGAGATTTGGAGTCAAAAAGATGAATAGATAGTCGAATAGGCTCCTCCACAGTAGGCAAGGGAATAAGGACATCACCGAAGTTAGAGGGAAGAGAAATAAGAGTAGGTGCATGTCTAGAGAAATAGGGTAAACTCTCAAAGAAGGTTACATCCAGAGCAACAAAAACTTTCCGTACAACAGGATCATAACACTTGCAACCTTTTTGAGTACGAGAGTAACCAAGGAAAACACATCTGATAGTTCAAGAGTCAAGTTTATCATGGCCTAGACCCAATTTGTGAATAAAACACACACAACCAAACACATGAGGATGAAGAGGGAAAGGGGAAGTAGAAGGAAACAAGATAGAGAAAGATAACTCACCATCTAGGACTGAAGAGGGCATACGGTTTATGAGAAAACAAGACGTGAGGACTGCATCACTCCAATATATTTAAGGGTAATGCTGACTGAATCATGAATCCAAATATATTTTTGGGCCATACAATTCACGATTTGAATCTTATGATATGATTCATAAATCTTATGATTTTTACGATTCACGACAATTCAAATAAATTCAATTAAGAATTAGTTCTCTACTTTTTTTTTTGTTTATGTTTAGTTTTGCCATGGGAGACTTTTTTTTAAAGCCCTTACTAGAAAATGACTTATTTACATTATTCAAGACCAGAAATTGAGTTTATTTTCTATCATATGTACATTGAAGGGCCATTGTATTTAGACTTGTTTGATTTTCAAATCAAACTTGATTATATCATCTTAGACTTCTATTGTATAAGTGGTAAGTTCTATTGTTTTAAGTACATATATGGTAGATATAGATAAAAAATAGGGTAAAATCACTTTCCTATATATATTTAGCCTTTTAGTATATCTATATTTAATTTTGTTGACAAGTTTGTATCAAATAGAAAAACTATTACGATTTACGATATGATTCACGACTCGATTCAATTCAACTTTCTCTACGATTTACGGTATGATTATGATTTCCAAAACATTAGGAGTGATGTATAATACCGTGAGAGTCAAAATAAGACTGAAACATTTTATGAAGGTATTCTTTGGCATTATCAAAACGAAACACTTTAATGCATACACCAAACTGATTCCTTATTCCAGCATGAAAAAGATAGAAAAATAGAGAGCAATTCTAAACAATCCTACATTAAGTAAATCCATGTCATTCTTGAATAGTCATCAATAAATGTTACAAAGTATCTGAATCCATTATAAGTTGACACACAACTAGGACCCTGAACATACGAGTGGACTAAAGCAAAAGGACTTAAGATGCTCTTATCATATCTAGGAATGAGACACTTTATGATGTTTGTTTAAATGACATGACTCACAATCTGAGTTACAAACTCCAGCATTGGGACTTGTTTTCTCAAAACACACATAGAAGGATGGTCGGGACGACAATGCCATTGATGTGCTGTAAGAGAGGAATGAAGACAATATTTAGCACAGTCCTCCAGCTTCACAACTGCCACCAATCATCTTTCCCGTCTTGAGATCTTGAAAGACTATTTAGGACAAAATTTTACTGAACAATGAAGGGTTTGAGTAAAATTAGTTACAGACAAGAGACTAAGGGGAAACTTGGGAACATAAAAAGCATAGTGTAAACTAAGGTCATAACCAAGAGACACATTACCAGTACCAATAAATAGTAGAAGAAGAACCATCAGCTAAAGAAATAGTTAGGAATGTAGAAAATGGTGACCGAGACAAACATATCTAAGGAGCAAGTCATGTGGTTTGAGGCTCTAGAATCAATTACCTGGGTTGAAGGTGTAGAACTAGAAACGAGGCATGTAGTACTTGACCTCACAAGTGTAGCAATGGTAAAACTGGAAGATGCAAGAGAACCACGCCCACTGCCAAGCAATACCTAACTCCTCACGTAGGATAGAAATTGTGTCTTCATCCTTACCAACATTAGAAGCAAGAGAATCTTCAATCACACAAAGATTCCTAAAGTCACCTTCCGCCATTACATGGTTAGCCCAAGAAGATGGAGGGCCGTAAAGATCATAACAAAAGTTGACTGTGTGACCTCGTCCACAATGTGAGCACTCACGAGCTGAACCACGCCCAATACCACTACAACCACCATCACTTCTTGCATTGCCAACCTCTCTACCACCTCCACGTCCACCCTTGGGCCTACAGCCAAAACCCCTCACACTACCTCCACCTTTACCATGCATACTTCTATTGGGAAAACCTCCTCTGGAGACCACCATGGCTGATCTTTTTGAAGGTGGGGAATGATCACTATGTGGATTTGAGGCTCTCCTTATCGGACAAGGATGGAAGATCACTACTACCTAAGATTTGGGTCCACATTGGTTCAAATTCAGACCTCAACCCAGATAAAAACCTTGCCACATCTAGATATTCTCTTTGTTCTTGTTGATTCTTTAAATCAGTAGATAGGTGTCGATAAACATTAAGCTCATTACTTAAGCTATTCTAAAGAGATGTCATAATTTGGGCATTCTCTTGTACCCATTCATTGTACCCTTATGATTCACTTTTCAATGGACCCTCCTTGATGAATTTGAACTTTCCTCTTGCAATGAGGGATAAATCAACCAACTTAGCCAATGGGATATAATTAGTACTATTAAGTTTCATTGTAGTTAATTGAGAAGTCATGACATTTGATTGCACAACTACTATAGGTTTGGTGCTATCACTTGATGAAGCCATGAATATGAGAAGAGATCGCTAGTGTGTCACCTAGGCAAATGGTTAAACAACTTATGCACCTACTATAGTACACTTTCTCCTTGGGAAAAACACTACGAATAACCACCCTTCTACTTTATAATAGGGATGGCAATTTCACGGGAATTTTCGGGTATCCGACCCGTCCCAACCCTAATAGGACCCGTTTATCAAAACCCTATAGGGTTTGGGATTTTAGATAAAAACCCTATAGGGTTTGGGATTTTAGATAAAAACCCTATAGGGTTTGGGCTTTGACTTTAAGGTATCCGATAACCAATACCCGAGATGCATAAATATGAACCTATTATATTATATATCATGCACAAATTTATAAATTTTAAGTACTAAGATAATTATTCTATTATTAATATTTATTTGTATAAATTTCTTGGGATTAAAATCATCATTTAAGGTAAATTTGGATTTGATAGATTGTTTATTTCATTTAGTTATAAAATGCTAATTTTGAATATTATTTTTTTTAATTTTTAGTTGGAATTGTTAATCATATACATGTATTGATTGTTTTGATGAACACAAAAGTTAATAAAATCTATTTTATTTCATTAAATAACACAAAAGGCAAGATGGCTTAGTAGCTTAAAGTAGTGTTAAGAGATTTGGCGTTATCATTAATTGACTCGGGTTCAAGTCACACTATAAGCATTAAGAAACTTTTTTTAGTAGAAAATCTTTGGTCAAGGGGTTTAATGGGTAGGATGGGTCAGGATGGGTTTAACAGGTTTGGGACGGGACGGATCTGGGAAATTGAGAGGAAAAGTTAGATGGGTTTGGGACGGGTTTGGAATCAGGGATACATAGGGGGGTTCAAGAACGGGTAGGGCAATTTGCACGGGTACACTACCCATTGCCATTCCTACTTTAGAAACACTAGGGGAAGATCACACACTTACCAAAAGATTTTACCACACCACAAACCACCACACATTGAGAAGCACTTACCTCACAACTTGAGACATCATAAGGCTGCCCTCTTTGAACTACCGAATAGAGGGCTTTTAGAAAAGCACCACCAACTCACACAACGTTGCAACTTCAGGCATTAAAGCCTCTTTTCAAAGGGGACGATCAGTCCTCTTGAGTCCTTTTCCTTTTCAACAAGGACTGGAGAATATTCTCTATCCCTAGGGCACAAAAAGTTGAGACGTGAATAGTGTCATGAACAGTACAGTCAACCTCAATCAATAGAAGAAAACTTAGTAGAACTAATGACTAAACTATTTTTAGTCTCAAAACCGATGCTCTGATACCTTGTCTTCTTGGTAGAAACGTTGTTGAATAGAAGAGAGGAGAAGATTTGGAGTCAAAAAGATAGGTTGGCGGCGCTAGCATTATTATTTATATTAGGGCGACAAAATAAAAGAGAAAAATTACAACGGTGCCCTGGTAGTCGACTACTAGGAAATATCTTTGTCTAGTAGTCGACTACTAAAAACAGTATATTGTTAGTAGTTGACTACTAAGAAATCTCTGCGTGTAGTCAACTACTAGCAACAGAGTACATTCTAACAATTCTAACAAATGTGATTCCCTACTTCTCTTGATTTCAACCCTGGAAAAGGTCTACTTGCACCACAATGTTACTGATAGTAGAATTTGGTTCACAACCTCTGATGGTTTATTTTATTGTGCCTCTTTCTTTAGTCTGTTACTCATTTTAAACCTTTGGGGGTGAGCATTCCTATGAGAACATCTTGTGCGGGTAGTGGTGATACCTTATCCCATTTATTATTCTCTTGTCTTTGTGCAAAGAATCTAGGTGTTTTTTGTTCTCTTTGGATGCAAAAGGAGTGTGAATCAGTTTTTTGTTCTCTCTTTGTAGAAGACATAGGGGCTGAGTTTAAGGGGATCAAAAGGAGATTGAATCAGTTTGCTGACTCTGGCTAAACAGGGTGTAACAAGACCACAGTTGTTCTGGGCTGGTTCATAATGGGGTTTTGAGCATAAGGAATAAATTTTCTATGATCATGTTGTATTAATTACCTTTTCAATCCCTCCGAAAGTACAAGCCTTTTGTTGGGAAGTGTTTCTGGGGAAGGTATACACCTATGACGTGCTACAGAAAAGAAGGCTGAATAAGTGCCTCTCTCCTCATATGTGTGTCCTTTGTAAGGCTTGTGGTGAAACCCTACCCCATTCACTAATCTCCAACTCTTTGTTTCTTGTATTTGGGAATATTGTTCTCTCTTTGGTTGCAGATGAGCCCGCCCACAGGATGTAGCAAGTCTCTTCAGCTCTACTTTGCTGAGGCAACAGAAAAAAGGGAAAATGTCTATGGAAGGCAGAGCGGCTGTGGTGCGGACCATCTGAGAGGAAAGAAATCAAAGAATCATAAATGAAAATCAGATCTGCACATTGGATTAAAACTATGGAACTCTTCAGGAATGTCTATAAATAACATTCTTAGGAACTGGACTAAAGTGATACAAACAGATTTACATAGAGAGTGTGAGGATGGTTTTGGAAACCACCTGCACCAAATAAAATAAAACTGAACTTTGATGGAAGTTCTTTGGGTAAACCGGGGAGAGCAGGTATAGGGGGAGTGTTTAGAAATCATCGAGTAGTAGTGGCCCTATTCTCAGGACAGCCTTGGTGACTCAATTCAGGCTGAAACTCTGGCTCTCCTACAAGGATTGAAACTGACTGAGCAGATTGGAGCAGTAGAACTGGAAATTAAAAGACATTAACTCCTGGTCATATCTTGGGAAAGCAAATCAGTTCAACACCTTGGAAGTTTAGATTCGTCTTCACAGAAATTGACCTGCTTGCAAGTAGGTTCAATTCTAGTTTTGGATGGGTAAAAAGGGAAGCAGATGGATTGGGATATGTTCTAGCAAACCAAGGAGCAGAAAGACTTATTTATTCTGGAAAAAAACTGTAGTCTGTTGTAACCTGAGACACTACAATGTTGAAACTTTAAATCTCTTATACTTTAATCAGTAACTAAGGAATTAATAAATATTTAATTGCTGATAATAAAGAATGTTAGATTGAAAATTTTAAAAGGAAAAGGTCAATCAGATAATAGACAGACTACCTGGGTGGAGTTGACATGAAGCTTGGGACCCAAGAAATGGAACTGCAATGAAGGACAAGAAGTCTTTCTTCTTTGGGGCCCAAGAGGAAGCTCATTATACATAGGTGCCCACTGCAAGGGAACTTGAAACTCCAAGAAGTACTGTAAATCCTTAAGAGCAGGTTTGTCTGGGCATGGAAATCAGAGGAAAGTAAATTACAACTTGTCAGCTTTCCATTGGCAAATTGATAATCATATAGAACTAAAAACAAATCCGAAAATATATAAACATCATGAATTTTCACCAGATAGAGGTATTTTGAAGTGCAATTTAAGTCCTATTTCTCCCATCTAATTTGCCTTGCACATAATATGACTTTTCCTTTTTGAATAGTTTCATAGACCGAGTGAAATACATGTTATCCTAACATGCTAGTATACGACAATGAAGACAATGAACTAATGAAAATACAAGAAACTTCTATTTTTCTCCCATCAAAGTAGAACCGAGGTACTTACAGCGAAGATATAGATTAATTGCATGACTAAGATAGCCACTGCCTTGGATCCCAGTAAGAAGAGAAGTGATGGGTACAAATTTAAAGAGTATGGCATCTGGCTTAGCAGGCACTGTCTGGAGCCAACTATAATGGCTGTGGCAATATACATCCCCTCCTCTTTTCGAGCAAATGATGGTCAGGCCCTATTCAAATCAATCCATATACGCTCAAGATTGAAATTGCATTTGAAATTCTCTAAGCAGGAAATGAATACAATGTATTACAAGAGTTTCTGAAGAAAATGGAATACAAGACTTACATCTTTGCTGGATGCTTCTAAAACAGTGTTGGAAATCTGCCTGGGGTTTGACTGCAAAAGATGGTAAAAGACCTCGGGAACCTACAGAACGGGCAACATGCATCAAACAAGCGCATAAATATGATGAACATTAAAGTCATAATGTGAAACAAAAATTACCTTTTTCTTGGATTCTCTAGTTCTCTGCTGTAAAGGAGAAGTGCTCCTATCTGAAAACATAGAATCTCCAAGATCCTCCAAATATCCTTTGAGTTCAGCAGCAGGAATGGATGAGGAATGTTTCTGTTTAACACAAATTACATCCTGACCACCAATAGCCATTCCTACAATTATGTGTGTCCCATACGTCTCAATGAACCTATCAAATAAATCTAGTCAGCAAAGCATCAAATTAATTCAAGGTTACTTAGATTCCTACTTTAACTCCAAAGTCATTATTTATAATTACTTATTTTTGTTTATTTTGATGATCATAATTACTTATTTATAAGAACATAATATTGGGATCTTGGCAAGGCTAATATGTCCAAATATGGATACTAACAAGATGCAAAAAAAAAGGTAAATGACAATCAACAGGTTTGATTTCTTCAGTTAAGCAGATCCTTCTCTTGTGAATCTATTTTCAAAACCATTGATCCTATCTCYCCAATCCCTTTTTGTAATCAGTCAAAGCAGTGTAGGGTAGCCCTTCTCCACCTAAAGTCAAAGATTTTTTGCTAGGAAGCCTTAAAATGATAAATAACACAAGAGAGATGCTCCAGAGAAGAAGACCAAATCAATATTTGTCCCTTGATCTGTGATTTAAAAGGCGCGCCTAGGCGCGCCTAGGCGCACAGGCAAGACACATTTCAGGGTAGGCGCCTCACCCAGGTCCTAGGTGCAGCCCTTTCAAAAGGCGCACGCCGGGTCCGCCTAGGCGTGCGCCTGGTGCGCCTCAGCCCAAGTGACGCTTTTTTGCTTTTTATGTGTCTAACGGCTGGGCCGAGGGCTTCGCCCCCTAGACCCCTGTGCCACACCCATCGAGGCAAGCCCAAGCAAGTGCACATTAGGTCTTAATCTTAGTTCTCACACAATTGTCTTACCCCCTATTTGGTAATTTTGTTCATTCATTCATCCTAATAAAATGTCTWCTTAAAAAGCAATTAAAACTATAAAATCATTATTTTTTTGTGTGAGAACTAAGAATTTAAGACCTGATGTGGACTTGTTTGGACTTGCCTTGATGGACATAGTACAAAGGTGGCTCGTAGAATCAAGAATGTAATATGTTTTACATCACATTAGCTACTTGAAGTAATGCAATTGAGGAAAAAAGAGATTGGGGGTTTTATATGCTGGAAAATGTTTTATATATTTGATTTTATTTTTAAATTCTCATTTGAATATGCTTTACATGTTATATTTATGTATTTTAATATTAGATAATAGGTTTTTTTAAAACTTTTATTTTAAAATTAAAGTTTATATTTCTACTAATATTATGTTTAATATTTTTTTTTGCATTTTTTTAATTTTTTGGCAATTTTTTATTTTTTTGATTTTTTAGCCTTTTTTTTATTTTTGCGCCTTGCTTAAAAAGGCACGTGCCTCGCCTTGCACCTTGTGCTTTTAAAACACTGTCCTTGATGCATGTCTTCTGTTTCAAGGATGGTGAGAATGCAGATAATATTGTTATCTTGTTCCTTTGCAAAGCTAATGAAATCACATCTTTTTTTTATAATTAAAAATAAAAATACATAAAAAGGAAAAAATGATACAAACTAGGAGGGTGATAAGATATTACCAAACAACAGCAACAAAAACAAAAGCATACCTATCTTCAAATATCCAAATTACATATTTGAAATCCACCCCCTCCCAAAGCTATCACCAGAATCAACACACCTGGCCTTAGACAACTCAGAGAGAAAAAGACTCAACCAAACTGTGATATAAAAACCAGCAAACACCATCAGCTTGTCCCACTTCCAACCTTGACTGCAAAAAGGTCTCTCTTCCTTATTCGAGCCCACGCACCATAACCCGAAAATTCTACTAAAGTTCTTAACCTTTTCCCCCCTCCCCCCAACTCATTTGCGGACTCTACAACAACCCCCCATCACTCTACTAAAGTTCTTAACCTTTCTCCCAAACCACACCCCCTTCACTAAGTGCTATCGATTTGTTATAATCTTCCTGATTTCCATTTGTTTGTCCACTAGTCAATCAATACCCATTGTCCCCTTCTTAGAGTTACTATCCTTTGAAATCTCAACTCCATTCCCCCCTAACTCCCCCCCCCCTCTCCTCTTCTTCCTCAATCTGATCTTGTGTGACCACAATTTTTTTCAAAACCCATGTTCTTTCACCTTTCCCCACTCCATCAACAAATTCATCCTCCACCCCAGCTTTGTTTTCTTCACCTTCCTTCTCTTTTGTAAACTTTTTCTCATCCCCCCCCCAAGAAAGACTTCAACGTTTTGATTAGATGAGACTAAAACGAAGTCCTCTTGACCAAGCGTAACTCCACAGTAGTTGCTTCTATCAGTGCAGTTTGAACAAGAGAGAGAAGGAAATGCACACATTGTGGGAGAAAAGGACACAGTTGACTTCTGTTATGATTTGCATGGCCCACCATCTACATGGGCTAATCATGTAGCTGTTGGTGGTGGTGAAGCCAGTGATACTCAACCAGTTGATCCAACATCTTCTATAGTCACAACTACTTCTGGGAAGGAGATGACGAGTATTCCAAGAGAGGAGTATGAGAGATTCCTTCAAGCCACTTCACATCAGAATACTGCCACCCTTGCTCATTCAGTTATAGCTTGCCTAGCATCCAAACCTTCACCTTGGATAATTGACTTTGGAGCCTCTGATCACATGACCAGGACTCTAGGTGTGTTTTCCTCCCTTTCTCCAACCTCCACATCAAATAGTGTTACCCTTGCCAACGGATYTACTTCCCCCATTTACGGTGTTGGTAATGTTAACACATCTCTTTCTTGGTCTTCTGTTTTATACGTTCCCAAGTTTCCTTTTAATCTTATGTCTGTTAGTAAACTAACCAAATCCCTCAATTGTTCTATCGCATTTTACCCTTCCTCTTGTGTTTTTCAGGATCTAACGACGGGGAAGAAGATTGGTGGAGGGCAAGAAGCTGGCGGATTGTATTACCTTGACGGTGGTGGTTCTACAATTGCACTTCAAACCTCTTTGACTCCTCTTCAATGGCATTGTAAACTCAACCATCCATCTCTTAAAGCTCTCAAGCTTCTTGTTCCATCATTGAGTCATATGTCATCTATGCAGTGTGAGTCGTGTCAGTATGAGAAACACCATCGGGTTTCCTTCAGTCCTAGAGTTGATAGTCGTATGTTGAGTCTTTTTGATTTAGTTCATTCAGATGTTTGGGGTCCAATCAGAATTGAGTCTTATAATGGTTACAGATATTTTGTTATCTTTGTTGATGACTATTCAAGAATGACATGGCTTTATTTAATGAAAGAAAGAAGTGAATTATTTTCCATTTTCCAAAAGTTTCATGCTGAAGTGCTTACCCAATTTGGTGTTTCACTTAAAATTCTTCGTTTCGACAATGGCAGAGAGTAATTTCTTTCTTCATTTCAGCAATACTTGGAACAACATGGTATTATTCATCAGGCATCTTGTGCCCACACCCCTCAGCAAAATGGGGTGGCTGAGAGGAAGAACTGGCATCTACTTGAAACAGCTCGGTCTCTTCTTCGCCATATGAATGTTCCTAAATGTTTCTGGAGCGATGCAGTACTTACTGCTTGTTTTCTCAATAATCGCATGCCCTCGTCCATTCTTGATGGTCGTTCTCCGTTCTCTATCTTATTTCCCACTTTGTCTCCATATCCCCTAATTCCCAGGATTTTTAGGTGTGTGTGCTTTGTTCAGAATCTTGGTCCTAGTCTAGACAAGTTGGATGCTCACTCCATTAAATGTATCTTCCTTGGCTCTCTAGGACCCAAAAAAGGTATAAATGCTACAATCCTATTACTCGGAAATCCTTTGTTTGTCCTGATGTTACATTTTTTGAATCGGTGCCGTATTTCTCTGGTCCTGATATCCCTCCTCTTACAGAGGTTCCTCTTCCTCTTCCGGTTGATAATTCCATTCCGGTGGTTCCCATTATGCCTGAGCCTCCACCTTCCCCAATGCAGAAGCGTACTGAAGACCACCAATCCGTCAAGTGTATACTCATCGACAGAGACCAGCACCTCCACCACCTTCTACTCCATTGGCTGATCCAACTCCTTCCACACCCGAATTGCCTTATGATCTTGACCTTCCTATTGCATTGCGGAAAGATAAGTGTAGTTGCACTTTACAATCCAATTATGTTTCTATATCTCACCTTTTCGCTTCCCATCGCGAGTTTATTACTTTGTTGTCCTCTATATCCACACCTAAGGATGTTCAGGAGGCTCTTACCTTGCCAGGGTGGCAAAAAGCTATGGAAGAGGAACTTTCTGCTCTTCATCACAATCATACATGGGAACTCACCAATCTTCCCCCAGGTAAGCATGTTGTTGGTTGTAAATGGGTGTATAGTATTAAGTATCTACCAGATGGGAGAATGGAATGCCTGAAAACCCGTTTAGTTGCAAAATGGGGTGGAATGAGACAATATCAAGTTGACCACTTAGTATTTAGCTATGACTCTGTGGCTAGGAAGATCTTGCTAGTAGTTTATGTGGACGACATAGTCATAATTGGGAGTGATAGAATTGGGATTGATAGATTGAAGACATTCCTACAAGATCACTTTCAGACAAAAGATCTTAGAAAGTTGAAGTATTCCCCAGGTATATAAGTTGCTAGGTCAAAGCAAGGCATAAAACTCTGTCAGCAGAAATATGTTCTTGACCTGTTGGAAGAAACAGGATTACTAGGTGCTAAACCAATTGAAACTCCCATGGAACTGAATGTGAAGTTGGGAAGTGACACAAGTGAATTGTTTGATAATCCTGGAAGGTATAGAAAGCTAGTGGGAAAACTGAATTATCTATCACTATGTCTGGTATCTCATTTGCTGTCAGTATAGTAAGCCAGTTTACATAGAGTCCTCGAGTGCCTAACTAGGACGCAGTTCTCATCCAACCCAGTTTTTCATGAGAACTAAACACATAGAGATAGATTGCCATTTTGTAAGGGAAAAAGTCATCAATGGTGTGATAGGCACAGAGCATGTGAGAACAGGTGATCAATGGGCAGATCTATTAAACAAAAGGGTTGAGTTCGGAAAGAGTGAGCTATATATGTAACAAGCTGGGATTATATGATATATACTCTCCAACTTGAGGGGGAGTGTTAGAGTCGACTAAAGAGGGGTATTTTAGTCTTTTCCATCTTAGTAATGTGTTAGTTATATGCCTCCTACATATGCAGGGGCATTTCTGTCTTTGTATACTGATTTGTTAAATTTAAATAGATGGTCGACTGGGTTAGACTCTTGGTCTTCTTAGTTCGACACTCTTCTCTTCTTCTTCTTTCCCTTCTCTCTTTTCTTTCTCTCTTCTCAGTTTGACTGGACAGTTTTCACAGATACATATAGTTTGGCTATGTCAGAAGGGGTTGGGATAGGGTACAATGGCTGCAGTCACCATTTGGGGCTATCTGGAAGTTGAAAATATATATACACATTTTTTGTGATTAATAACACACAGTTACCAATCAGTAAGATTTTTTTTTATATTTTTATAATAGAGGCCATTACTTGGTGTAATGAGTGAAATCTTGGGCTGACAAGCATGAGGACATGAGCTATGAGGGTGGCCTCTTTGTGCAAAAAAATGCCAAAGCTTAGGACCATAACCAGTCTACCCATTCAAAGAACCCCGATAACTAGAACCAACATTGGGTATGGCCCTTTCTTTCTACCCTTATAACGTAAGTACTTTGTGGCTGCCATAACCGAACATTTTGGCACCTGCATTTTTTTTCCTTCTCTTTCCATTCTTTGCTCCAATTCTTTTCTAGTTTTGTATACTTCTACCAACCTGAAGCAAGTTGTAAGACAATAGCCTTAAAAGCTATGTTGATCATTGGGAGACTATTTAGAAAGTTTGATATCTTTATAGTCCATACCTCATATAGGATATCATCCTGAAAATTTGACAAGGACAAATAACAATAACTCACACCAGTAAATTTCCCTATCTTTTTTATAACCAATATTCAAGAAAAGCACTGTATTATGCATGAGGAATGACAAGAAAATATCTACCTAGATAGTGATGCTGGGTCCCAGTTAGGAGGGACTGCCTTCCTCACTTTGTCTTGGAGAACTAAAGGAGATGCCGTTAGGTGCAAATAGTACATGGAGATGAAGTAACCATCAAAAGCAAGATATTTATTGTCTGTGGCATCCTTCAACCAGGCTCCATTTAATTGAAAAATAGAATTAAAATAACCTGAAGGAATTTTTCCTTGTATGGAAGATTTCTGATTAAAAAACTCTGACATCTGCAATGAAGCAATATAAAGCCAAAAATATTAGAAAGTAGACTATGCATTAAGTATAGAACTCTAAATTTGCATCTACAATAAAATACAATACATAGATTACAAAACAAAGGATAAATTGCACTTTCACCATTCTAAAGATATTCATAGTCAAGCAAGACAATAATTAATCTATGAAATAATATTTTATAAGCACTGCAGAGGTAAAGTGCCTTCAACTATAATAGCAGGTCATTTGAAAGCATCTGAAGTGGCTGAATTGAAAAGCTTATTGCTTTGTCTTTTATTTTCATTTTTTTTTTGTTAGAATAAGGCAATCAGATCTTTAATAGCTTTTGAAGTGGTTAAGTTTCAAAGATGAATGGTGGTAAATTAGTAATCCCACATGGTGGTAGGAGACATGGATGGGGTTGTGAAGGAAGCTGCTTAGCTTTACTATTTGTTGCATCTGATGAGTGCTAGGCAGACAGCTATCCGCCTCTCCTTTCTTTTTTTGTTTCATTTTTTTGTCTTGTAGTAAGTAGTGCATTATGCAAGCAATATATGATGTGAGCATTTGGAGGTGGTATTTTGGGTCCAGTTATGATGCTTTGATCTGTGGTTTAGTTTATTCTCTTAGTGTTCATTAGGGTTTTTAGCGGTTGTTTCTTTGCACATTATAGCCTTCATGCTGAGGGTTTGCTGCCCTCTTGTGCCTCTTCCTTTGATTTTTTCGTTTTTTTATCAGCAAAGAAAATTTATTAGTACAACAGATTGGAACTCCAACCACCCAATAGTACAAGAAGCATTATACCAGTGTCCAAAATTACAAAGAAAATTTCGTTTTTTTCATTTTTGCTCGAGTATTTGCCATCCCATTTGCAGTCCTTACCCAATTAAAGGTGATGTTTTAATTCCTTTGACAGGCATTCTATCTCCCTGAAGGAATGCCTGTAGATCCGGTATTTGACAGCTACTTCTTGTCCAAGAGAGAACCAATTTTGAGTCCCCTTCAGCTTTCAGTGAACCTCAATTGCAAAAGCTACATTGCTTTGCAAATCTTAAACCTAGCAGCAAGGCCAACAGTTCAGCTTTCAGTGAATCTCCAACCCAATAGCTCCTGAGTATAAGGCCACCATTGCCTCTTTCTTTCATTTATATTATAGGCCCAGTAGGATCCAGTGACTGCAACAACTAAATTCCTGCCACTGGTTTAGGGGCTAAGGAGTCAGTTTCTTGGGCTATGAGAGAATCCTTATTGAAGGTAAGGGGGTCCCAAAACAAAGATCAGGTAGACAAGGAACAAGGAAAGATCTATGGCCTTTGGCAATTGACCAAATAACAGAAACAATATTATTGGCTTCCAGAGAGAAACTGACATTCCATTAGGATGCAAGTTTAGATAATCAAATAATGGATGTCCCTTAAAAGACTGTTATCCATACATCTATTACTTATCTGTCCTGAAAAAGCAAACACTGGGGGTAGGTTTAATCTAATTTATTTATTTATTTTTTTTTTGTAAATGGCTTGTGGGGCAAGTTTCTTCCTCTGGAAGCTTCTTTTGGAGAACAATTTTGGGACCTTGTAAGGCTCTTTTGGAGAACAATTTTGGTTAATGAACAAAGAAAGCTTCTCTGCGGAATTTGGTGTGATTGCCAAGTTGGGGGTGTGATTGCCAATTTTTCACACACATATATATTAATGTATATCAATATATATTAATGCATATATTAATATTATATATATTGGCGAAATAATATATTATATCATACATCTTCTAATATATTATATGATATATAATAAAATTCAGTTTATTTGATTTTTCCGGTTAATAGAATTTGTACTCCTAAAAACCAAAAYTTTTGGTTTGGTTTTAACCAAACAATGCTCACACCTAATTGTATGAAAGGCCTCAACCATCTCTTTTGGAGATGGCACATGAAGTACTGGAGCAAGATCAACATGAGAGATATGATACCTATGATGCAACTGGGGATATCACCAAGAAGGTATAAGTTGAAGGGACAGATTTTCATGGTAAGATCAATCCTCGATCTTTTTCCAATTGGCTTGCCACCTTAGAAAGGAATTTTGGTTGAGTTCGAATCTTCTCCTCACAACACATCCCAGCTGCACATTGAGAACATCTTTTGTACTAGTGTATTTTTATTCATGGGAGATGTTCCCAATACATGGTTGGTGTGAGGTGTGCTCTATGAGGAGTAAATCCCAATTCATTTCGATTGGTATGATATGTTAGATGAAAGGAGGGTTAAGTTTGTTGTCATGAAGCTTGTTGGACAACCCTAAAAGTGTCGTGCACTAGTATAGAGAATGATTTAAGAGATGTTGAACAACCATCCATTATCTATTGGAAGGAGATGAAGCTAAAGTTAAAATGGAAGTCTTTTCCTTATGATTATCAAGACAATCTCTTTGATAAACTCAACAGTTTAAAGCAAGGAACCATGTCGGTTGTGGAGTATATAAACAAATTTGAAGAGAGAAAGTTTGGTGTAGAGGAATTGAAGATCCACGCCAACTTTCACATTTGGACTGAGGGTTAAATAACCAGATGGTTGTTCATCGCTTCTATGATGTGAAGCCTTCCAATAGCCTTGAAGATTGAGAAGTGCATGCGACAACCTCATATTAAAAAATTTCCTTCTCAAACTGGAGAGACAACGGCTAGAAGACCTGTTGACATGTCTAAAACCATGTGGCCATCACCACCATATGGCACCACTAATCGGCCAAATGGATCTAAACTTAATGATCCATATCATCCTAAAGGAAATCCACATATGGTATATCTCAATCAAAGGGAGATAAGAGGCCAATCTGTTTTAGTTTCCAAGAACATGGCCATATGGCTTATGAGTGTCCTACAAGGAAGGCTTTGAATGTGCATATTGAGCAACATGAAGAGAGGTTTGAACCACAAAGCCCATGATCCATAAAATTACGAGTATGACTCACCCAAGGAGGATGATTTTGGAAACTATGATGGTGCTGATTATGATAAAAATGCTTCCCTTGTAAATGTGGTGAGATGAATACTTTCTACTCCATAGAAAGAGGAGGATTAGAGACGTACTACTATTTTTCAAACTTTGGTTAGTTGTGGAAGTCAAGCTAAAAAGCTTATTATTGATGCTGGTAGCTGCATGAATATGGTGTTTGAAGCAACTATTGAGCGCTTGAGGTTGCCAATGGAATCACATCCTCACCCATACAAAGTTGCTTGGATCGACAACACTTCCCTTCCGATAACTAAATGGTGCTTGGTTTCTTCTTCCATTCATCAGTATTCAAATTCTATTTGGTGTGATGTTATTCCCATAAATGCTACCCACATTTTACTTGAACGATCTTGGCTATATGATCGTGATGTGTGGAAAGCTAAACACTTTTGACTTTATGTTTAATAACCAACAAGTTATTTTTAAGGCTAATGTCAACAGAACAAATTAGAAATGATGATAAAAAGACATCCAAGCGTGCTACTAAATCAAAGAAAGCCTTACACATGATCACCAAGAAGTTGGAGGTAGAGAGAAAAGACAGAGGGGTTATATATGGTAATAGTAGCCAAAGAAGTAGAGAAAACACCACATGTACCACTTGCAGATGCACCGCGAAAAATGGACATGTTCCTGTCAGATTTTTCAGATGTAGCACCAGAACAATTCCTAATGAGTTGCTACCAATGCGCAACATCCAGCATGCTACTGATTTTGTCCTAGGCTCCCAACTTCCCAACTTGAAAAGCAAGTTGATGAGTTGTTGTCCAAAGGTTTCATCTGAGAAAGCTTTAGTCCGTGTGCAGTTCTAACACTTTTTTTTTTTTGAAGAATAAAATGAAAATTCATTAAAATAAAAGGTAAAATACAGCAGATGGTGATAAGAAATCACCAAAAGCAAGAAACACCCTCAAGAAACCCAAAAATGGCCCAAGAATACCACACCTTGCAAACATAAAAATTACCCAATCAGATCCAAATAAAGATCATGGGTCAGACCCAATACAAAATCCTCATTAAAACAAGGACCATCACCCTTCTCTAAACAAAAACAAGAACCCTTCCAGATGCCCAAATCAGTCTTCATCTGTGAGTGCATCCTCTTGGTTTGAGTATTCCCTGTCCCATTCCTTACTCCCTTTCAGATGCACTTTGTTTTTCATTTTCTCTTCCTCTTTTTTTCTTTCAAATTCTTCAAAAGGCCTCCTAGCAAATTCCTCACCACACCAGAAGAACAGACCCAAGCTTTTCTCAATTGTGACCTCTCTATCAACTATTTTTTGGATAGTCACCTTACCTGAAACTTCATCAACAACATCATTATCCTGCCTTAGCCATATCGGACCAGATTCAAGGTCAACATCATTCACCTTGTTTTCCTGTTGTTCCTTCAACGAAAGGGGGGCCATAAACTGATTTTGCACTATTACCTCCCTATGATCAGTACCAATTGTCCCATTACCTCTCACCCTTATCCTTCTGTACACCCATTTATATTCATTTTGTAGATCCTGCCCCTACCAAGCCGAGTTTTAGTCTTGAAAAGATCTTCGTCACATGAACGATATTGTGAGTTCTCATATTATGTTATTTCTTGCTGATTATCCCACTAAACTGATCCTCCTCTTCCATTTTGCTCCCTCAACACAAATCAACACCCAACCTTCCAATCACAACCTCCTCAAATTGTAGGTCATCTTCGACCTGACTTAGAACCCGTCCACCAGAAGACTCACCATCATCTAAGTCTTCCTTTCCTACAGCCTTACCTCCATCATCGTCTTCAATTTTTGGCTCCAGCCTTACCCAAATCAACACCCAACATTTCCTCCAGCTTCTCTATTTCAGTAGAGTCTAGCTCTTCTAAACTCGGAAAATCTCAAATCGCAACTGTCCACTAAGAGTGTCATACTCATAGCCCCTAACTCAGAGTGAACACAAATCCCATTAGATCCCCTACTGACCTAAGAATAACGTCCAGCATTGCCAGTCATG